AAAAGTACCGGCGAAAGTGTATAAAACATTTGTAAAGTTTCCAACTATTGGTAAGGATATTGAAGATTTTGTGGAGGAGCATAGAGTTGGGGCTGATCAATGGTGGTGGACTGGTGTATTCACCTTTGATGGCAACCAAAAGAAAGGGCCAAAAGTAACTTACCGGAGAATCCAGAAGTACGTCAATGACAAGTATAATGCAAAAATTGGCTATGGGACAATAGTCCAGCTTTGTACTGTGAGAAACAAGCGTAAGTTGTCTGCAGCAAGGTACCATAGTGTTGCCCGTGTTACTTCCCGTAGAGCGAGGAAAGGATTTGCTATAAAGCTTAACCCCGACGCTCATTACAGTACTTCCATGTATAAAGGTCTGGACTTTATTCAACTAAGGGATGGTCAAAACAAGATGGTACTTAATAGGGACGATCAATCAGGATTTAGATTGGACACTACGTATACACACAAGTTGCATAAGGCCACTGCACTGACGGACAAGCCTGAGACAACAACTCGTACAGATTACGTAATAAGTACGCCTCAGTAATTCAAACAACATCAGTAATGTTCCTGGGTACAAGTACGACAGCTGAGAGATGTGTTGGTGTAGTGAAGGCTCAACATCTCTACAAAAAGAATGCTACTCAGCATGCTTCGGATTTGGTTATGTTGCAAAGCAAAGATGAGCTTGAGCCATGGATGAAGGACAAAGCTGTAGATTGTATCAGGGTAGATGGTGCCGGGGATGAGGGGCCATCTCACCATGAAGTACAGTTTTACTGGACAGAGAGAAACTTTTTGCTAGGAAAGAAAGCAACAATTGTTACAACAAGACACAGTGGAGGATCGTACCTCAATCGGGTTGAGATGCAAAGAAAGAAAGCAACACAGTGGAGGGTTGAGATGCAAAATGGTTGCCTTGCCATTGCTCATAGCAACTTGTTCATACCATCCACGTTGACGGGCCCAAACATAACTGGTCAAGGACTTGACTATGACAGACTGGCGACAAATTTGGATGTAGCCATTGATGTGTACATCAACCGAGTAAATGGAGCACCTTGTGGCGAGAGTGAAATCGCCCTTTACAAAGGGGCGATAGACGAGCATGCAAAGAGGTTACAGGACACGCCATGAATTGTTGATATTTCTTAAAGGCTCAAAGAAAATGAAATCCACATTGAAGGAAACGAAACCAAATGACTATAGCTATTTCGAAAAGATCTGGGACTTGAGGAACCGACACATGGTGAAAGGATTGCCGGAGCAATATGTTTTTTTCCTACTACCTTGTTATGAAACTGACTGTGTTCATCCTGTGTGTCAACGAGGAAGGCCTGATGTTGAAATGACGTGGTTCGAGGGTGGTCCATCATTGCCTGAAATACCTTTCCCTATTCCAGATCCTGCTCGACCCTGGGGAGGGGAATGTGACAAGTGTACTTCTAGTTGCTATGGGCATTTCTTACCACCCAAGGAGTGTGTTGAACACATTCGTCAGCTTGGCATGAAAGACTGCATGCTCACACCTCCTTCAGCAATCATCAAGGAAGCATTTGAGAAGTCCCAGAAGAGTAAAACCACCATTTCAAGCCTGGAGATAACAGAATTGGCAAAGCAGACACTTCTTCCTGAGCATGATGTTTCGTTCTGGTTACAGCATCTAGAAAGCATCAAAGAACGACGAGCAGAGGGTGTTAAAAAGGCTCAAGCAAAAAGACGGTGTTCAAGAGGAATTCGTACTTCCAAAGCGAAATCAAAAAGCTGCAAAATCTAAAGACAGGGATGATGTGTACTGTTGGTGTCAAGAGGGGTAATATGGGGAGATGATAGCATGTGATAATGTTGCCTGTCCAATTGAATGGTTTCACTTTGAGTGCCTGGGCCTGACTGCTGCTCCAGCTGGCAGGTGGCTGTGTCCCGACTGTGAAGAAAGCAACAGATAAGCATTTGTAGAATATGAAATGAGAATTTGGCTTATTAGCAATACATGTGAATCCAACAACTCGTTCAGTTAAAATGTCCTAAAAGTGATATCTCCAAACTGTTCAATTTATTCTCATACAAAAGGACATTCAAACACATTGCAAATGATGTGTCTGAAATATACACATTGGGCACTTCTACATGTAATCATGCATTTTTTCAAACACAGTAGTGTGTAAACTACCATTATTTGGGATTATTCAACCGCCATCTGGCTTACTCTAGATGTAGTTGTGTGTCAAATGCATGTTGGGACTTGTTATGTCAAAGAATCTAGTATTTACTTTAGTTCGTGTTCGGGTACAGCTAAGCCCTTTAATTGATATTACTGTTTTAGGAGTGGTTTTTGCCAATTTTAAAGGAAGTTATTGCCAAATTTACAATTTCGGGTGTATCTTTAACTTGTTTTGTGTTGATGCGTTGCTTGAATCACCATGTTCCAGTTTAGTCATTTACACGTCCAGAGAAAAGTTTACAGAACTATGTCTTACCAAGAGGAGTAGAGGAAGCCATGATTGTTTCATCTATTTTATGAAGACATTGAAAAAGTTTTTGTAAGAGTTAAATTTGAGGCACAATTCTTGAAATAAATTAATTTTGGTCAACGTTGTGTATTTGGGATTTTTCAAGTATTGCCCCGGGGGCGGAGTACAAAAATGAGGTTTTGACATAAGAAATTGCCCCGCATAGCGGGGAATTTGCTTCATTTAGTTGGGACGCCTGGTCTAATGTCCCGCTATTCCCCGGGTATGGGGGTGCGGGGCTTTCCACTGACTACTGCATGACAGATCTATGAATACAGTCTCTGGCCTCCCTTAAACAAGCAACCACTCGGTCATCGATAACGTCAAGTCCTTGATATCTGACAACTCTACCGTAAATCCAATCAACACGAAACTGTAAGCTATCAAGGCGGTTGTTCTCTAAATTTTCCACATTCAACTGCCAAAGGATTTTTGAGAGTCCCTGGATCAGTTGATTTCTTATCCGTTGCAAGATGTCCGCCATGTTTTCTCCTTCTTCTTTGCTCCGAGTGGTACCTAGGCCTTCACGGCTCGTTTCCAAAAACAGAACACTGAGTGTCATGCAGAATACAACATTATCACTTCATAATTTAACATCTGAATATCATCATTGAATATTTGAATGTCACAATGCCATGTTTGTTGAAAATTTGATGGATGTAAGTATCGGAATTAAATGTCAAAATTGCATATTTGAACATAAAAGTTAAATGTCAAAACTGATCGTCTCGATATCATAAGTGAATGTCTCAATACCATAATTGAATGCCTCAATATCATAATTGAAAGTCTCATTATCGATTTGAACATCATAGTAACAAATATCATGAAATCGTATCGGAATAGCACAATTGCATATCTCAATGTCATAACTGAAATTGTGGATATCATAATTAAACATTTATTTTTGACGGTAATTACACTCCATACATATACTCTATGTAATCTATTGAACAACACTACTACCGTGAGACTGAAGAACAAAACTCTAATGGATGCAAACTGTTTGTGAAGAAAGACGCCATGTTGGATTCACTTGATGCCCGGGAACGTAGCTAGGATAACAGTGCGAATGGTATTAATTTCACGATCAGAAAGGTGAATCTTATGTTTGTTTTCATTGTAGTTGTATGGATATTCTTTTTTAATAAATACATGATCCAAAATCCTGTGTTTTTTGTGTATAATGTTATTATGTTAAGTATTGTTTACGCAATTGTCATGTCACAGGTGGCCCAAGCTCACGCCTCGAGAAAAAGCCAACGATTAATTCATGAATGCGTCACGCGTTGTGTGACTCGGTGTTAAGTTACGAAAGAAACCGTTGAAAATTGAGTGGCAAAGTATGACGTCACGTTGTCATGACCGCATTTTTTTCAGTTCTAAACAAACTGTTCTATCCAATATGGCGGACGCAAGCGTCATGTGAAGCTCCGTTTTGCAGACTTTGAACTCCTTGTTTGACGCTCGTGGTACATTCAAGTTATGCTGGAAGTAGAAGGATAAGGCCATAATATCTTGCAGAATCTAAAATATTGGAGAATTAGGCGAAATGGTTCAGTGTTTCGCACCCGAATGTAATCACCAGTCTGAGAGTCATTGCTGTCGCTTCTTTGCATTCCCGAGCAAAGAAAAGAAAAAATCTGAGTATGATCGATGGAGAAGATTATTAAGGTTTGTATTTTAACTTACATATATACTGTAAAACCAGAATATCGCAGCTAAACTAAAGTATTGTGGCTTTCGGACTAATAAACATGGTACTTGTTGGATTGACGCTTGTTTCCTTCGATTTACTTCTAACAAAATCCAACTCTGATCTAAATACATTCCACATCTCTATATGTTTCAACAGGAGAGAAGATCGAGAACCAAGCAAACACAGCCGTGTTTGCAGCTGCCATTTCAGAAATGGCGAGAAGGTATTTGGGCCAGAGATTTTTAAGCACAACGAAGGAAAACTTTTCCCTTCTAGCAGTAAAACCGCCACCAAAGAAGAAGAAGAAATTGGAAAAAAGTACAGATGGCAAGGAATTAGTCGACATCGAAAAAATGAGAGAAGCCTTGCAGAGCAACGAAAGTGAAGATCAAGAACGGGACGTACTCAACGATTTAACTGCTTCGGAGATAATCCTTGAAGCAGAAGTAAAGCAGCTGAGAAATGACCTTCAACAACATGAAGAGAAGTCAAAATATTTTAGAGAAAAATACTCAGTGTCTACGTTAAGTGACGATGTAATACGCATGGAAACCGGTCTTCCAACTAAGCAAGTATTTGATGTAGTTGTACTTTATACTTTAAGATTCAAAGACTCAATAATATATTTTCATGGCTGGAAGGTGGAATCAATAAGTTTTGAAGACCAGATATTCAAAACTTTAATAAAGATTAGACAGAATCACACGAACCTTCATATAGCTCAGTTATTTTCATGCAGTGAAACTACTATATCTAATATTGTCATTACATTTATTTATCTCTTGCACGAGATTTTGTTCACTTTTTTGATGTCAACAGTACCTTCTAGGGAGAAAAATAAGACTTGTTTGCCGTCATCATTTACACAGTTCAGTTCTTGTAAGATCATAATAGATTGCACAGACATTGAAGTTGCAACCCCTGGCCTAATGAGTCATCAAAGTGCAACTTATTCTTCATACAGAGGTATAAATTCATTTAAAGTACTCGTGGGTGTGGCACCTAATGGGGTCATAACATATGTTTCTAACCTTTACCCTGGATCAACTTCAGATAAGGCTATAGTGGAAATGTCTGGTTTTTTGAAACACCTTTATCCAGGAGATCTTGTTCTTGCTGACAAGGGCTTTCTAATCCAAGATATAGTTCCGAGTGGTGTGTCTGTAAATATTCCCCCATTCTTAAACAATGGTAAATTTACTGAAAATGAAATAAAAGTAACTAAGTCGATTGCCAAATGCAGAATCCATGTAGAGAGGGCTAACGCCAGGTTAAAGGATTTTAAGATTTTAAGTTTTATTCCCTCTTACCTAAGATGCTATTCTCAAAAAAAAAATCAGCTTTGTGCTGCTCTTGTTAATTTGCAGTTTACGTTAATCAAGGAAGGTTGTACAAATGTATTTTTTGAGTAGAAAATTCTCAAGAGAGGCTCAAGTCATGTTTTCGATGACTACAAAGATTCAATAGTTACAGTAATAAAAAGTCTAAGTTATGGCAATTTCTTCAATTCTTTTTTTTCTGCTTTTTGCTCTTTACTTAGGGTGTGATTCTTACTTTAATAGGCATGAAAGCATCACTCTAGTTTCTGTCTCTATTTTGGAAAAGTAGTCTACCAACAATTGAGATAGATGGATAGATATAGGTTATTCCTCATAACTTTAACAACTATGATATTCTATGATTATTTTCTTAGTTCATATAATCCTAACTGTACAAGGAAAGAAGAGAATCATTAACAGTTAATAATTTTCAATCTTTTCAATTGTTCTACAGAGTTGAACAGTAACATTATTTTTTAATTTCTCATTTCCACATAAGGTAGAATAAATATAAAGAGTACAAGTGTATATGTCTCCTTTTATGTATTCACACTTATAATAATTCCCCCTCAATCATTTTAGGGTAGTAATGATGGAAATAAAAGTTTCTTAGAATATCAAGATTAGGTTTCCATTCCTTGTCTCTATGAATGACCAAAGTTACGTGGCCCTTGACAGTCCACACAACAAAATAACAATACATTCTGTTTGTGAGATGGAGCTGTCCTTGAATTTGATGCCAATACCCAGACTTGTGATCCCTCTTAAGCTCAATTTTGTCCTTTCGCTTCTCCAAATAGAATGATTCTGATTCTATAACTTCCTCTATGGTTGAATTCCTAAAGGTATATGGGCATTTTACTTCCAAAATACCTTTTTGATCAACTAGACCATCAGGTGTGGCACCAAGAATACCTGACTCTTCAAACCAAATTCCTGTTGGTTCAACTTTTAAACAATTTGACATCTCAAATGCATTCACAGCTTCTTTTTCATTGTTGACTCCCCATGTGATGGCTTTGACTCCAGATAAATCATACTCGCCCATGAGTCTTTTCAAGAGTGATTGTGAAACTCTCTTGGCTGCTAAGACAGGACCAAAATTACTAGCTGTGAGTCTTCCCTTTCTAAGCATTGACCATGCTGGATTCTCTCTTTGACCCACTGTGAGTTTTGCTATTTCTTGTATAGTACTACTTTGAATTTTGCATTTTTCCTTAAAAAAAGAGAGCTGATCTTCCTTTCCATGGGCTTGAAGGAAGCCATCAGAATAAATTATTTCTTTGATTGTAAGCATTGGTAACGTCACCGGTTCAGGTTCAGGGCTCAGAATCCACCATAGTCCTGTGAACTTTCCATATTTACATAACGATCGGTAAATGGATGAACGATCTGCTTGCGTAGGTTCTCTCGATAGAGCACAGTACTGTTTCGGAGGAGGAAACATCTCAGTGATCTCAGGGCAAGTTGGCTTTTTTGGCTTGTTCCATCGACATTCGATGTCCCTACGACTAACATGATGTATGGCGTAAATGAACACAGCTGCGGCATGACTGCACTTGAAAGCGCCCTTAGGACATTCACACTCTGTCGACTTGATATTCAAGTTACTATCTACGTATATCTAAAGTAGAAGAAGAAAAATTTTTATTCTTTTAGTGATTTTATTGGTTGTAAATAGCTCTCAGGCGTTCTCAGCGCTCCAATCGAACAGCCATCGAACGGATCCTATTTTAGAGGCGCTAAGAGCTATACTTTATGAAGTTAATATCGTATACATCGGAGCCTATAATTTAGATATTAAAGCTATTGAGCAGCTTTTATAATTGATCTAATGATTCCCAACCGATTCACAAAATATAAACATAAACATACAAGAGAGCTTACGTACCGTAACCTCGTAGACTTTTGATCTCATACTAGCGTGAACTTTGCCTCTAAGAATGCCTTGATTATACATAAAACATTCTATATGATCAGATTTGACGTGGTTCTCCCCTTTTGCGATAGATTTCTTTTCATCTTCGAAGATAGCAAAGAAGAGATTGAAAATAAGGTCATGATTAATATGGCGCCATACACAACGACACCTCAGCGTTTGTTTAGAACTGAGAAAAATGCTGTCATGGAAACGTGACGTCATGGCTTTGCTACTCTATTTGAACACGTTATAAGGAATAGTATAGGGAACGAAATATGGTCGATTTACAACAATAAATGTTTCAAAATATAAACATTATTCTTGTAAAATCAATAGAGCTTACTCATACCCTGTGTATCCGTTGTAGTTTCTGGCGATTTCTGCCGTTTTAAGCTTGCTTTACCATCACTGTTATTCACGTCAACTACTTTTATTACGTTGGTAAAATCTGTGCAGACATCACACCCACCAACTCGCGCGCAAAGTAAGAAGATATATCGAAGGCTTTAAATTATATTACGATCGATTTTCATCAATAAATGGGCAGGAATTTTCCACAATAGTGCAAATAATCGTGAAGGCTGATCGCGGAAAAGCGATTGCGTGACGCTCGGTAAGCCGTTAGATGACACGTTATCATATACCAGACGTAAAAACTCTTCAGATTCTCAGTCTGCATTTTGTACCCACTCTGCAGTCTGCAGTCTATATTTTGTATCCGGTCTGCAGTCTACTGTCAGCATTTTGTACTAATAGGTATCCGTGGCACCAATACAGTTTCTTTTTGGTTACATTTACTCTTTTTTTCTTTTGTAAGAATGTAGACCACTTTCAACGTTTCAAGTAATCCAGCCACCCTACAAAAAATAACTCTTGCATGCATAGTATGCATGTTTTGAAATAGGTGTATGCCCTTGGCCAGACTTGAGCTCACTATTTCAGTATAATAGTCCGACACCCGTAGTATCACAACACTTGATTCCAAGGATCCAGTACCATCCAGGTGTCCCAGTTACCTTGCTCACAGAGTCTAGTTTATCTCACACATGAGCACGTGGCCCATGGCAACCAGCCGACCTGAAACATGCATAACTTGTATAGCAGTCCAACTATTCATGCCCCGCTAGGCTCAAGGGCCGTGTCAATTCACATAGCAACACAAAAAATAAATAACTAAATAAATAAATGTAAAGGAAGCAAGAGGGAAAACCTGTGTGTGAAGTGATTCGACATTTTCGTTCTTTTCCGCGTTAATACTCTTCTTTCCTTTTGAAAGAATGTAGACCACTTACAATGTTTCAAGTAATCCACTCACCCTACAAAAAATAACTCTTGCATGCATAGCATGCCTATGTTTTGAAATAGGTGTATGCCCTTGGCTAGACTTGAGCTCACTATTTCAGTATACTAGTCCGACACCCGTAGTATCACAACACTTGATTCCAAGGATCCAGTACCATCCAGGTATCCCAGTTACCCTGCTCACAGGGTATAGATAACAATTTGGACTTGCGAAATAGCGTAGAAAGGAACACGTACTTCGTTTCCGTTCTTGAATTTGTGATGGTGAAAACATATTTGCCGTTGCTAATCCCACAAAAATATTTTCGATGCCTCCTTTCACGGATGACCGATCGTCAATCCCAACCTCCCCGAAATCTGTCAAGAGGGGCAAGGTCAAACAACGGTATGTGATGTTATGAATAAGAATCATCTTCGCACGAATCCTAACCCTAACCCTAAGCAATGTGAGGAGAAATACTTATTCCTAAATAAAGCTTTTCAGGTCAATTGTTTAGGTATTTTGAAAATTCAGTGAAAGCAATTACGCCAAAACCTACTAAAAATATTCTGAATTTCTCATTATTCAGAATTGCGCTTTTGTTGTTGAGAAATATTACAGATTCCACAAAATCTATTCATGCCGCCGTTTCGGATGGCTGATCATCAATCCCGACATAGTGAAACCTGAGAATGTTCCAAAATTTTCGGCGGAGAGTTAAAGCAGTAACCTTCGGGAGTTTGGAGCAGTTTGCATAGGATTTACCAGTAGAAACTTGTGATCAGTCCAAACAAAAAACTTATTGGGAGTTTTAGCGAACGTTGTAGCGAAATGACATCATCATCCAAAAGTTGGATGCGTGATATCACATATACACTCAAAGATGATGTGAAGGAACATATTAGAGCTAGTCACATGGACCCAGGCGAACAGGGGAAAAGCTGTTTCTATGCTGCTGGCGAAACTGTTGTTTGGAAAATGATTGAAGAAACCCTTCATAACCAAGATGTCAAAACGCCTCACAGATCTTATAAGAACAGGATTGTTTTCCAAAAGAAATTTTCTTCGCCAGTCGGTAAACATGGAAGGAATGGAGCTCCATGCTCTTCTGTGACCGTGATCTACGACACGTTGGACCAAAGTATAGTTACTGCATTTCCAACAACATGAATTTTCAAAGCTTTGTTTTCAATTTGTAGAGACTTTTTTCAGAAAAAATTCAAAGAGTTGAGTATAAAACCAGGAGCCCACAAAAATTAATCCCGCCCCACTCAAAAAGCCGCTTTCACTCCCTCGAACATTGAATATGGCTGTGCCGGAGGCAGTCAACTCAAATACAATAGGCAGTCAACAAGAGTCGAAACTCGACTGAAACAGTTCAATCAGCCAGATGTCAAAGCTATGTCGACGTCATTTTGACGGGAGCCTAGACAGCTATAACAGCCTCCTGTGGACGACTAGGAAGGAACGAGGCAAATAACTGGGAAACAAGAACATAACTTGAGATGAATAAAGCGGTAGGAGAGTACCCAGCTCTTTTGTTTTTGCCACTTCGAGCTGTACGTCTCTGGCAACCTAGAGACACGAGACGCTTTACCTTTCAAAATGCTATGATGCTTGGCCATAAAAATAAAGCTTTGACTATGTCATTACGTTTTATTTACCTATTTATTTATTAAGTTATCACTTATTTTCTTATTCAGTTATTCACTCTTAATTGTTCGTTTATTTATCTTACCATTTGTTGATTGTTTGACTATTTTGCAATTGTTTTATGTCGCAAGTCGTCAGATTCTTACTGTGTACCGACATTGGCTCTAGATTTATATTGCTTCATCACCATTTTCAATCAAATAAAATTTAATCGAGCAAAACTGCAGTCACCCGCCA